GGCGGTAAATTCTTTATAAGTAACCATATTCTGCAGTGCCACTCAGACTGTATAGTGGTTAGGGGAGCCTACTGTGATACCGAAGGGCCCTGGTTCGAATCCCGGAGAAGGAATGGATGTTTGTAAACATATAGTGTCTTTGAGACATGGGGGCACTCTAAATATATGTCGAGACGAAAGTCCTCTCGAGAGGTTGATGGTAGGAGAAGAGGGGTGGAAGACCCCCGAACCCGTCCGCCAGGGGTGTTCTCCATCAAACCTGGGGGCGGAACTGAGCGAAGTCATAGTATTATTATAAACCCGTATGGTGCTCAAGGCTCGCATATTACCCGTATGGTGGCATAAACCTGTATGGTGCTCAAGCCTCGCATATTACCCGTATGGTGCTCAAGGCTCTTGCCAACGACAGGTGCAATCTTGCCTTCCTTGTCACAATGAATTTCGTGACCCTGTTCTGATGTTACTGACAGACAAGTGAGATAAGTCAAAACAACATTTTTCTTTAGAAAGTATGGAAAGTAAATAAATCATTTGATGAAATCTGTCTGAATATTTTTTTATCAACAGTTTGTTTTCATTTTCATCAGAGCGTTTAGGTGCTCCATCAGGGTATTAGATGCAACTAAAGACATTGGTGATATGTATCTAATTTAAAATATAAACAACAAATCGAGAAATGAAACTAAATTTTCTTTATTTTTGTACTATTTATTTATATTGCAAATTTTTTTTTCTAACTGTGCAGTCTGTAACTAAATTCTCAAATTGATCTTACGTAATACGACTGCTTCTACACTTATTGGTACAGTCAAAATGCTTCAGCCCAGTAATTTGTCAAAATTAAACAGCTTCGGAGCAGCACACTAAATATTTTCTCCTACAGTTATCATTAGGAAGTTTTAGCTTGACATGATATTATTTTCCCAGTTTTGCTGATATCAACTTGAGACGCCTGTATGAAAAAGATTACTGAAACTCAACTGGGATACTGATGTTAAAATTTCTAAGTAAACTTAATCAGCTTCTAATAGCATTAAGAATATCTGTCAGCTTTAGTAGATGATGAACTGAAATTACGTGGAAATTTACTTCGTGAAAAGCTGTGTAAAGTCTATGTCTCTTTGGGAACACAAACTGTTAAAAGGACCATAGAAGAATTATCTTCTAGCCTTGTGAAACAAAACAGAAATCAGAAGAAGGGTGTATAAAATCCTTTTATTCAAACATAAAATTAACAAATGACTCAACATGGGTTACAATAAGCCGCGCACTTCTGGCTTAATAGAAATACGTAACATCTAGTAATTTCAAGGTGTGTTAGATTAGCCTAACGACTCACAGAATACTTAAACGCGCAGGAAAAGCTCTGGTTTGTCGTAAACTGGCGAGACAAAACTAAATGGCTTGAACACTCAACGCTGCTAACGCAAGTCGCCAATAATCACAGACGCGCTCTAAAACTAACTTCCGAAATTCTTGCTTAAATAGCACTTCTTTCTATCTTAATCTGAATAAACTCTGGCCATATGATTTACATTCTGGCATGAAAAGCCTGGGTGAAAAGAGAGTAATAGGAAGGTCAAACTTTAAATAAATTATTAGTTAAAAATAAATAGATAAACCTCTCAAGTTTCTTTCTGCGGCTCTTCTTTGTTTGTAAGTTTGATTTCAAGTTTGTCAACAATTATGCAAAAGTTAGTCATATGAAATTTATCTTTGGAATTCAGATTATTTCCCACCGCATCTCCGTTATTCGATACCTTCTTTCTGATACGTAAGTTTCAACTGCCTTCTAATCAACACTTCGCAACATTGCCTCTGTTATTGTTCCGTATCATTCAAGTTCATCTTATGAAGTGCACAATTGGTCGGTTAATGTTCCAGACAGGCCTAAGTAAGTTTTTAAAGCTAACATTCAAATTTTGCAGAGCCTGGCTTAATATGAGAAGCTTTTGTTCGTGTTTTTGCGATTCTAGCACGTATACAGTAAATGTGAACATTCGTTCCATATAAAGTCCTACAAAAAGTAGTTGAAAAGCAGTTACCATTAATTCGGCTTATTATATTTAGTGAATGGGTTGCATAAAGCTATTAGCAGAGTTTTCATAAGGCTAACTTGCGAAGTTTAAATTTTAAATTTCAAGCAAGTATTGCAATACTTGATATGCCGTATTTTAGTCTGGCGTACGTTTAATTTATATCTACTTCAAATATTTTTTCTTACACTTTATTTAAAAGAATACATAAGTAAGAAGTGAGATGTTTTTCGTTTTCAAGTACACGCGACAGTGAAATTATCATTCGCTTTTTACATGATGCGTTAGAATGTGATGAAAGTCTCGTTATACTTTTTACGGTTTTCATAAACTTAGCATAGGGTTTGGTATCCAAATCCAAACTGAAGTGATGTGACGATAATCATACCAATGCACGTACCTTTTCATCGCAAGTTTACACATCGACTAGATTATTTCCAAAATTTACGCAGTTGACGGTTTTCTCTCCTGCCGCTGCCGTGGATAAGACCGCTGAACGTTAATAATTCGTCGCAGGTTTAGTGCTGACGCGAATAGATTTTTGTTTTTTCCTATGTGCGAGCCGCTTTCTCTCAGAATGTCCTCCCTAAAGACCCTTCTCCTCTTAGACAGACAGAATCGGCCGCTTTCCTATTATTGATTAAATTATAAGGTGTTTTCTCCTTCCTTTCTGCATGCTTTCGTGATGTAATAGTTATCACACTTGGCGCGTATTCGAGAGGTACAGGCTCGAGTCGCGTTGAGGGCATTGCTCAATTTTCAGGTTTCCGGCATTTAAAACCATAAATGACTCTACAGTGGCGCCCGAACTAAAAGGTGGTGGATGATGATTCTTTACCACCAGGATTTAGCGATTGGGTCCCTTAACTCCCAGTAGCCCTTTAAAAGGGGGTATATAATATATTTTCTCCCTTCTTGAAGCGTATCTTCGTGATGTAACGGTTAGCACACTCGGTGCGTATTCGACAGGCCCAGGTTCGAGTTCCGGCAAGGGCATTGTTCATTTTTCATGTCTCCTGCATCAAAATAACCTAATGACTCTATAAAATAAACACACAGAAACTCAAATAGCCCTCAATAGCTTTGCCATAAGCAGTTAACCAACCAACACATAATAGATGTACACATAATAGATGTAATCTTCTTGCTGATTTAAAAAAAAAATACGCTAATTGTCATTTCTTCTTGCTCATTTTAAAACTTTCGTTAAGTATAAAACAATTTTCTTTATTTCCTTGAAACAGATGATGTTTTATAATCATTCAAAGAGTTTTTTCCTTTTAATTTTTAATTTTATCCTATGTAAGTCCCAAGTTTCCAGAGTTCTAGGAATTGAGCTCCGGTTCAGTTCCTAGAAACTTATAGGCAACTCTGTTGGTCAGAGACAAGTTTTGTTTTATGAAACAGTGCAATACTGTTCAGTCCGATTCAGTTGTTTTGACTGATGTAAGACGGTTTTGCAGCACTCTTTTTGCAATCACGGAAGATGCGAAGAGCGAATTCTTTTCGTGGAAAGAAGCTGTCAGAACTTCAAACAGCGTCTGTAAGGAGTATTCTGCTTCCAAAATTCTATTCTTATATCTGTTCTCACATTTGAAGAAACATTTACGGGGTGTTTGATTTTAAAGTTTAACAATGCTATAAGGAGAGAGAGAAGACACTGAAAAAGCTCTTTCAGGTGGCTTAAAAATTAATTTTTCGTTGGGATAAGTATATTCAGTTAAATGGGGATTATGCTGAAAAACTTCATTGTAATATTGATGAAAATGGACGAATTAAGAAAAAAGTATGCCTAAAATTCTAGAACTCTGGAAACATCCTGCGTATATTTTGCAATTTTTTAGGAAAATAATAAATGCAGGAAAATGTTTTTAGTTGTAGTTAAGAAGAAAAAAAAAATATAAAAGAAACATCTACATGCGTAATAGCCATCATTTTTATTATTGGAATAAATTTCTTTTCTGTATCCTTTTACAGAACAAAAAATTGTGAAAACTAGGCTTCGCATTCATCTATTTCAAATGGAAATCATAATTTTGTAATTTAGAAGATTACTAATTAAATTTAAAACTAAGACCCTTACTTCATTTTCATTTGCATGCTACGAAACGGAAAAAGATACTGAAATCTTAATAGCAAATAAAAAAAATAATAAACTTAACTATTCGATAGTGGAAGGTGCGCTAAGATTATCTACCGTGCAGGATGTTAGGGTATTCGTGGGGACATTGGCTATTTTCACGTGGTGGGATCAATATCTATTGATCGGAAATCAACTAATTTTCCGATAATTCCCGTTGAAAAGTCAACTAATTTCCGATCAATAGCAATAATTACCTGCTTTTAATTGAATTTCTTTTTCCAATTGAAATTTTGTTATTCATGATTTTATTCAAGTCCCCGTAAAACAGTTTTCAATTTACATTCAAGTTACTTTAAAACAATTTTCGGAATTAAACTTCCTTACCTATGGGTTCACTCTTTTTAGATACTTCACTTAAAATTAATATTAGGAGCTACTATAATCAATATTTCTTTAGTAAATATATATAAATATATATATATGTATACACATGCACATATATAAAGCATTCATAACTTCTTTTTGTATCTTAAATCTTTATACATATGTGAGTTTAAAAGGAAAGTTGTGGAATAATTTGGAACCAAAGGGGAAAAAGGGGAAAAGGAAATTGTTAAAATAATAAATGATTACACGGATCTGAAGTTTAATGCGAGTATATCCTATACCATAATATTAATTGATTATTTGTGCCATAAAAATGCACTACTCCCATTAATTAGAGAGTCGAAAGAGGTGTACGAGTTCAGGAGGCAAAATGTCCAATTTCGTGATAAAGAAACGCGAGGAAGAGTCGAAACTGGAGCAGAGAGCGATCGGTGCGGCCGGCGACTCGAGCAGCCCCCGAAGAGAGCGTCTGCTGGCGTGCAATTGGGTCCTACTCCATTCGTTGGTCGGCGCGCGCAGCGAACGGGCCGCCAAACACTGCGTCGCGTGTGTGCCTAGGGTCCCGAGCTCACTGGACTTAAAGTTCGATATTCGCGTGTTTCACGGAGCGGGTCGTGTAGTGCGATGCACACTCGTATCAGTGCGCGAGAAACCGTGCAACCGCCGAGCGCCGAGCGCGCAGAAATGGACCACCCTCTGGAATCTCTTTCGCAATCAGTTTAAAAGATTTACTTTGCATGAAGCAGAGAAGACATAAAACAAGACATGCGGCTGCCGTAGCTGCAGCAGCTGCCAACTCGCAATCCAAAGCGCTTTCTCCACCCGCTTCCACTCCTTCGCCCAGTGCCCTCAAAAGTCCCGAAAGCGCCACAGGCATGGCTTCCAAGACGGAAATGTTCGAATCCTTCCAAGCTTGGGCACTCAAGACTTACGGTGACAGCGCGAAGACCAAAACAGTCACGCGGAGGAAGTATAACAGGATACTCAAGATCTTAAAAGGCGAAGAACAAACAAAGGCAGAAAATTCCAAATTTCGATTTTGGGTCAAGGCGAAGGGCTTTCGAATCGGACCCCCGGCAGATAACACCTCCAGTGCCATATCAATGGACCAAGTGCTCTACGTCCCGTGCTCCAAAATACCCGTAAGTTTCTTTTCTTTTTCAAAATTTTGCCAGCTGTAAAATCGATTATTTATCGACCGAGACTTGAAACTTAGTTCAAATTATTCTTAGATGGATGAGTTCTTTTTTTTTTTTTTTTTTTTTTTTTTTTTTTTGATTTCATAACGCTGAGCTTATTTAAAATTTAATAGATTATTTAAATCTCATTCTTATTCTGCTCGAGTCTTTTTCATTATTTGTGCTGATTACCGCTGAAAGAATAGATGCTGAATCTTTTTTGGAAAACAGAACGAAAAATCATTTTCTCCTGCATGCTGATCGTGCCTGAGACGCGAAGAAAGCAACCCTCACCAGTGAAACCCGGTTTCCAGAGTTTACAACCGCTAATAGTCACAGCATTCAACAAGTGCGCTGCTTTCTGCGTAAGAGCAGTAGTCGAGAGCAAGCTTCTCTGGCACTCTAATTGAAAGTAGTTACGGTAGCGAATTCAGTTGAATGAGTTACTCCTTCTCTTTCCGCTGAGGAGAATGAAATGCGTTTGTTGGGATTACTTTCCTCTTTGCTTTTCGGAAGTACGGTGCGTAAAACCGATATTTCCCGTTTCGTAAGATATACTTTCTTGCGCATTATGAGCAGAAATCCGAAAGGAATATTTCTTTTGCGTTTTCTGAAACGAGAATTCAGTTTGGACTTGTAAATGAATATCTACCTCTTAACATTGGCGCGCTTTGCGTTTTGAGGATACGATAGTTATTCACGTTATAATTCACAAACATTTGCTTAAAGAACCAAATACAACGCAGGAGGAGCTGTGTTTAAAAATAAATCAAAGGATTCTTATATAACTTAACGCTTGTAGGCGTTTACTATATTTCTGAGTTTAGAGAAAAATAAATAAGAATCGTTTCTCAGCACTTATAATTTCTTACTCTTAATGACATAAATAATTTCTACTTTATTGAATTTATATCTAAATTGCTCTTTTCTGTTTGAGAGGAGAAATAGCTTTTGGTCATTGTAATATTCATAATTTTAGTGCAACGAAGGCGTTAAAAAATATATGATGAGACTTTACCGATTATGTTTATTGATTAATCGGTGTTTTCGAGGAATAAAATACTATTGCAATGTTAGTATCACTGATGTAATATAAAATAAACATAGAAAAATAAAAAGAGCAAATGAAAATAAATCCTGCCAAATATGCTAGAGACTTATATTTTGTAGAACTGCATTTATTTTATTTTGCTTTCTTTAAGGGGTTTCTGTATCGTGTGTATCATTGTGTTTGCTTTTAAGATCTTTCCTGTCGCTGCGATTAGCATAGATTCTTTTTCCAGTTGTGAATTAGAAATTGAGGAGGCATACAAAATGTAAAGTCTCAAAATTCAATTTTACTTAGTAAAATTAAATTAAAGATGTCATTATTTCACTGAAATATTTTCTAAAATTAATTTAATTTTAATTGTGTTTTCCCAGTCAAACAAAAAGACTATTAATGCTTTTTGTAATCTTCTTTTACAACTGAAAGTACTCTCGAAGCTTAAATACAATTTTCACAGTTCTAACATATTTTAGAAAATAAATGAAGCAGTTATTTAAAATTAACCATTATGATGAGTAACTATGTAATTAAACAAAAAGACATTACACGTTTTGCTTTAATACTTTTGTTACTGAACCTTGAATAAATTTAGCATAAAATTAGAATGGGATCGAACAGTCTAAAAATAACGATTTTTTAACCTTGTTGCACACCAGAAAACGTATCATTAGCTATAGGTATTTTATGGAGGAAAAAATGAAAAGTATTTTTTTTTCGATCGCTGTAGGAAGCCATTACGTTATTACAGAGATCAGCTGGTTAAACAAATAAGTCGAAAATGCCGAAGTGAACGTTTTGTAAATGGTTCAATATCTTTAACGATTTAACTAAGCTAAATCGCTAAAGTAATTTCTTGTTTTCTTAAATTTTTCTTTTCACAAGGAACTCTAACGGAAACGGGAAAATTTTTTTCGAAAACTGTAACAAGATTAATACATTTATCACCTGTTTCATTCAATTTAGATTAGCTACTTCACCAAATTACGGCTTAAGGACATAAATTAACTTATTTTGGAAAATAATAATCACAGAATGATTGAGAAAAAGAAATTAACTTTTCTTTGTTAAGTAGTAGTAATTATTTTCTACGCTGAAAAGGTTACTTAATATGGTGCTTCTAAACGTAACATTTATTTTACCAGAATCAAATCATTTGATGAGTGGAGAACAGATGAAATAAAATTCAAAATACACTGCAAATATTTACCAACATGAAAGGCAAAAAAACAAAGAGCTTAGGGAGACTTTAAGTGAATTCAGGGAAGCAGTATTGCATAAAACATTTTAACATATTTTGATGATACTTTAGAAATGAATCAGATAAAATTTCCAATATGCTTTAAAAAATTAGCAGAAATTTGTTTCGTCAAATCAAAAATGGAAATATATAATTTTTTTTCTTAACCAAACGAACAGTCTACAAATCTCGAAATATAGTTTGTATACAAGTTAAGCTGAATTGTAAGTAGGACGCAAAAGTGTGTAAGATGAATGTTAATTTTAAAAACATAAATTTAAAAACTGAAACGTATTCTTCCAGTCACACTGGCTCGCGATCTGTCGTTAGAAGTATTTCAAAATGTATTTTATAAAGAGATTAATTCAATGGTGATTATATTCCTTAAAAGATAAATGCAAAACAACGCTTAAGTGTACTAAATATTGGAGGAATTAGACTTTGCATATTGACCTGAGGTTAGCGAGGAAATGACTAGTTCTCCTCCCCCCCCCCAAACACATTTTCTATTTGGTAAAAAGAGTGCGTGGGTTTCTTTGCTCTTAAAATATGGAGAACTCTACGCACTCATTTAGTTTGAATTTAGTGATAATATTACATCTAGAAGATCTTGCATACAAAAAATGGTGAGGGATTAACACTTGACTCCCTAATTTCCTCTGTAAGAAAAAAAAAATAAATATAAGAATTTAGTTTTTCTGACTCATATGTTATTCTAGTAAAGAAGCAACAAAAGGTTTTGAATAACATTTTATTCAAGTTAAAAATTAGATGACCACATTGCAGTCAAAAGTTAATTATGTACTTTAAAATATATAGTATTTTAAAATATATTAAATACTATATATTTTATACGTATTTAATATATTATTTCATATAATACGTAATATTAATATATGTATTTATTAATACGTATATTAATTAATTATATATATAATTATATATACTTAAAAATAAATAAGCTTTAATTAGCGCTCATTTTGAACACAAAACTTTACCAATTTTAAGAGCCATCAGTTACAGTTCCCCGTTACACGGGAGAAAATATATTAGATTCTGAGACCTAATCTAAAATGAAACAAATTCGAATTTTGAAAAATAAAAAAATGTAAAATATAAGAAGTTCATTAAAGCATGCTATATAAACATTATGCGCAAAGACTGTGAAAAGGAATTTTGCGTAGGTATTTTCTAAAATTATTGGTTTGCATAACCCATTAAGCTGCTAAGCATTTCTTACTCTATGATTTATTCTTAAAGTTCGAAATATGTTCTTAAGTTCGTTCGAATAAGTTCATTTTTAAAAACATTTCTTTAATTTCTAATTGTTTATCCAATATGATATGAGATGAAACAAACTTTTATGTAATTAGGCCGGTAATATTCATACTTCAGTTTTCAGTTTTGTTATTTTTATTCTTTGCACTGATATGCTAACATTAACATTTTGCGCTCGAGAGGCGATTCTCGGTCACCACTTGATCTGATGCGGTAACTTGAGAGGCGACTTTCGGTCACCAATTGATTTGATGCGGTAATTCGAGACGTGCCTTTCGATCACCAATCGGTTTGACGCGTTAATTCGTGTGGACGATGTTTATTTAGGTTTAGTTTGAGCAATTTCGCTTCATAAGTGCATTCAATAACACCTGCGTATAAAAAAAACTGCCAATCTTCAATCTTAAATACGTTTTTTAAAATTTATTGCTAGATATACATCTTCGACATTATTTCGAACTCGACAATCGTGGCAACAAGAATATTATTTTCAAAGTTGCTGATCCCAATAAGCATGGAATACGATAAAGAATAAGTCAAGTGAAGATGAGTTTAGTTTTTCGTCGATGAAGAACGAAATTACGTCCATGCGTAGAGTACTTGACGATAAGAGAGGAGGAAGTGACGAAGATAGCGACCAGGCTCAGTGTAAGAAGGCGAAATTCAGGGTAATAGCTATCGAATATGCAAGCTATAGTGATTCCACAGAAAAGATAGAACATTCAGAATGGATAATGTGCACAGAATCCGAAGAAATGCCTCAAAGATTGCCATTTGTATCCAGCGAATGAGCCGTAGGACCGCAAGTATCTTCAGACATAAAAGAACCATTAGATTTCTGTGAAATAGTTTAACTTAGCTGTAAGAAGTTAATTAAATGTGAACAAAATCCTCTCGAGTTGCTGGTTCGCCAGAGCGAAAAGGCCTCGTGTGCAAAGCATTAAAATCCGAATCTTATTCCATGAAACTTAAGTGACTTATTTTAAAATATACATTGTGAAAGATGATTATTAAAATTGTGACCAGTTTATGTTTTTCTAAGTGCGTTTGTCATAAGATAAAAGCACATATCCAAAGGAAAACGTAACATCTTTGAAAGATTATGTTAACTTAAATAATTAAAACAATAAGCCCCAAGGTCATCAGCTTGTAAAGGCCATTTGACATTTATATTTCGAAACAGGAAACGGAGAAAATGTGCAATGAACTCTTTGGGATTCGAACTCCGGACCTCTTGAGTGGTAGCCGGACGTTCTTTCCAATTATACCTCAAAGGCACATAGTAGGAATGGAACTGAAGAGGAAGGGACACAGTCGTCAAATCCTAGTGATGACGAATTATCGCCCACCGCATTACTGTTCGGGCGCCACTTATAAAGATAATTAGGTAATAATGTCCCA